AGAGGACAAGTTAAAAGAGGGGGAGGAGGAGGAGGAGGAGGGGAACAGAGGAGGTGATGGGGTTACAGGGGAGAGGGAAGTGTGGGGAAGAGGGTAAAGGGGTGAGGGATAGGGAGGGGGGGAAGGGGTGACTTGAGGTTCAGGGTCACATCAGCCGTTGATAACCTGCCGGAAGTTGGGTGGTGGGGAGACCCGGGCGGCACGGAACGACTTGTGGCCGCCCACGCTGCTCCAAACCGCCCAAACCACCCACGCACGCCCACTCGAGATATACCAGATTCCTCACGTCACACCCACACGACGAGCACCCCGAGAGAGAGAGAGAGAGAGAGAGAGAGAGAGAGAGAGAGAGAGCTATTGCTGCAGGGGTCCACAGGTATACGCAGTCTTGGCTCGGGGTGAGTGTTGGAGGATGTGGGGGGATGAAGACTACATTACCTCCTCCTGCTTACTCCTGCTAGGGGAGGTGGATGCTCTTACTTCATTACTTCTCCCCTCCCCCCCTCACCCTCACCCTCATCCACTCCCTCATCCCTCCCCCTCAGCTACTTCATCCTATAATCAATCCTCTATTCCCTTCTGTTGTACGACCACTGAAGTACGACCATTAGTATACGACTCACATACGACCACTGTAGCACGACCATTAGTATACGACTCAGGCCTTAACATTCTCCCATCACACGAGTCTCTAAAGCATGTCCCACTGACCCCAGTTACACGACCCTACCCTCCTTCCCTCCCTCCCACTCTGATACTCTCCCTCCCTCTCTGTCAATTCTCCCTCCCTCTCTGCTACCCTCCTTCCCTCTCTGCCATCCACCCACCCTCCCTCCCTGTCACCTCTTGTATATACTTCAACTTAAGTTTCACCTATCCCGGACTCCCACTACTATATATATATATACTGTTCACTACGGCACTTGATCAACGATACCTATATACTATACTATTAACTGTGTCATCACTCGGGGTAATAAAAAACAGGCACTATAGAACGTTGAGCAGCTTATACCAGTACACGCCAGTCCTTTATCTTCACCGGTACGACACCAACTCTCTCTCACCAGTACTACACCACTCTCTCTCACCACTACCACACCACTCTCTCACCAGTAACATGACTCCCTCCTTACACCCGTAGTACAGGGGGGTTATTTCACCACCTTTCACCACCGTCTCATCACGCAGGACGACGCCACAGCAGTATCGTGGCCGCCTCCTCCCCCTGTGAGCCACTCCCATCACCCTCCATTAAGTCCACGCCAGTTAACCCATTGTGTCCCTCCCAGTCCGCCCCCAACCACACCCACGTCTACCATGCTATTACCGGGCCGCTACCAGTATGATACCAGTCCAACATTATAATACCAGGATAAGACCCTAACAATACCAGTATAATACCCACATACTATCACTATATACTGTATTACGTGTACGACTTTATTTTAACAATTATATAACATCTCGGATCCAACAGCTGATAAAACACCCCAGTTGTTGTGTAGTTAATGGTGTTTGTATACGCCCATGTTGTGTCCCAATCTGATGATCTAGTCGCTTACAGTCCAGGTTCAGATTTCAGATTCAGATTTACCCCACTCTACAGCAGACAACGCGGGGTCAACAGATAAAGTTCGTGTGGTGGTGTTTCATAGGGGTAGAGGAGGTGAGTCACGCACCAAACCCACGTCACTGTCATTAAATATCATACTATAATATTTTTCATTTAGATTTTGTACAAGTCTTTCGTTGAATTTTATACGCGAGATCCCTTACCCCCCCCCCCCTCCCCCCGTCAGGCCCACAGTGTTAACCCTCTCATCTACATTAATGTTATTGTGTGTAAATTTGGGTATTTATGGCTTTCCTACTTATGGTTGTCACTTAACTAAAGAAAATTAAGGAATATAATAATTTTACTGTGTGATGGATTACGGAGGTGTACTGTGTGTGTACTCTGGAGGGTGACCTGTGTTCAAGATGGGCGGGTCTAGTACACCAGGGGTAAGAAAAGTGGAAATATAAAGTATAGTGGAGTCAAAAGATGTGAAGTATGACCTACATTTAAAGAGGTTCAGTGTTTTATGAGGGCATCTTAAGGAGTCTCAACCCTGAACAGTCTCCACTTAACATTTTAAAATACTTATCGTTTTTATATTACTTATTTTTGCTCTATAACTGAAATTTATTAGTATTTAGATATATTTTATACCCTAAATATTGAAATTAGATGCTTCAATACTTAGCAACCCACCTCTAAGTCACCATGAACCATCACTGCACCACCATGACCCACCACTGCACCACCATGACCCACCAACCCACCACCATGACCCACCATCCCACCACCATGACCCACCACCACCTGCACAGTAGTTGTTACCCGCATGCTTAAACATAATTGCCAGCCCGCCACGATATCATCTTAGGAAATTATTCTCTATATCTTTCTTTCGTAGCTTTTGATAATGGATCTATTTTTCACGGTTCCAAGTCACTTTGAAGACAATTAAAACTTATTGAATGTTGGTGTGGATGAAGACTTGTGGCACTTTTGTTTAGAATTATGATAAAAACAAAATCTTACCAAGTTTTATGAGCTGTGGTGGTGTTACTGCCGAGCTCATTCTCACTGCCTTGTTGAAAATACCTGCTTCCTCTGACCTTCTATTCTTTATTTGTTTATATCTTTATATTAGTGTTTTCTTATCTGTGTAAAAATTTGGGATTCGATTTACAAATTATGCGAATGTGGGAGATATTACGTACGCTGGGGACGTCTAGGGTTCAGAAGCATCAAATTTACCCTTGCAACATTGAGGTCGAAAGTGACGTCATGGCTTTCATTGTGTTTTGTCCTCGTCAAACACATCTATCACCACACACCGAAATCGCTTGAATGGCACAGTGGTAAGATAATTATTATTGTTATTTTTTTCATACATTCATAAATTTGGTAATTAGTAACATTAGGATATCAAAACTTTTAGAGATGGGTGACGCTAAAATGTAATCAAAGAAGGAGTGGGGAAAAAATTAACGAGTGTTTCTCAGAACATGGAGTAGTGAACACCCTGTACATATCTGTCACCAGGAATAATATATTGTACTACATGGACGTGACGCAGATAACCAAATCAAAACAATGAGAGAAAACATGTATTATCAACAGCCTCTTAGCACCCAACGTTCACAGGAGGTAGGTGGATCTGTAGTGGTGTAATGGGTGGAATAAAGACGATTACCCTCGAGATACTTCACACCAGGATGTTCGAAGCTGGACATATTAAGTTAGGGTGTTGTAACTTGGACATTTTGGACCAGTTGGGTGTTGTAACCTGGACATTTTGGACCAGTTGGGTGTTGTAACCTGGACATTTTCGACCAGTTGGGTGTTGTAACCTGGACATTTTGGACCAGTAGGGTGTTGTAACCTGGACATCAGTTTGTTGTAACCTGGACATTTTGGACCAGTTGGGTGTTGTAACCTGGACATTTTGGACCAGTTGGGTGTTGTAACCTGGACATTTTGGACCAGTTGGGTGTTGTAACCTGGACATTTTGGACCAGTTGGGTGTTGTAACCTGGACATTTGGACCAGTTGGGTGTTGTAACCTGGACATTTTGGACCAGTTGGGTGTTGTAACCTGGACTTTTGGACCAGTTGGGTGTTGTAACCTGGACATTTTGGACCAGTTGGGTGTTGTAACCTGGACATTTTGGACCAGTTGGGTGTTGTAACCTGGACATTTTGGACCAGTTGGGTGTTGTAACCTGGACTTTTGGACCAGTTGGGTGTTGTAACCTGGACATTTTGGACCAGTAGGGTGTTGTAACCTGGACATTTTGGACCAGTAGGGTGTTGTAGCTTGAACGTTTTCGGCTTAGATATCATAGCTTGAAGTGTGCAATAGGTATAGTGAGTGTAGAGGTGTCGTGGTGGGTGTAATGAGGTAGCCAGCTGTAAAAAATATACTCTCGCAGGTGTAGAAGTGTGTCGTGGGTGGGTGTAGTGGAGGTTGGGGGGAGGAGGAGGTGTGTGCGAGTGTTGTTCGTACGAGCATTACATTGTCGGGTTGTAACAGTGTTGGGTCAAGGGGAGGAGGAGGAGGAGGAGGAGAAGAATTTGCACATCCTGTGGTTTATCACTTGACGACTGCCACCGCCCCCGACAACCCTGAGTGACTCGTTATTCTAGTTGACCTGACTGTTAACTGTTGCTGACCTGACTGTTAACTGTTGCTGGCTTGACTGTTAAAAATTGTTAGCCCGACTGTTAACTCTTGCTAATCTGACAATGAGTTGAAATTACGACAACTAACTTAACTGTTGCTTGCCTAACTCTGCCTCTCTTAGCCTCAGTTGACTGTTAAGTGATGATAACTGACTGCTAAGGCTTTATTTAATACAATGAACCCCGTCTGACTGTTTTAACCGTTGCTATCCTGACTGTTAAGTGTTGGAAACCCGACTGCCATATTAGTTGGCTGAGACTGGCCTGCTTGACCCAGTTGAAATTATCTGACTGTTTATGGCTTTACTTAATACTAGGTAACCGTTAGTGAATGTTAATTGATTATTGTAATGTTAAATGAGTGTTAACTGTTGGTATCGTTATCAGTTAAATTGACTGTTAATCCTTGATGACCCCAATGACCTAATTAGGTGTGAGTTAAGTGGAGCTGACTGGCTTACCTGACACGGTTGGCTGGTCGTGAGTGTAACCTATCTAATGCTCCGTATGGTAACTGGTGTACGCCTAACATAACTTTGAACTGTGAAATGAGTGACCGTACCCGACCTAATGAAAATTTGAATTGTTTTTAGCCTAAGCACAGGGACTGGGAGCTGTCTTGGGATTGACTAGAACTCTCCCACACATAAAATAGAACTGTTTTAGAGATGACTGTAATCTAAACGTTAGGTCTTTAAACAGGTGTAGATTTGACTGTAACCATGGTGACTGTGGAATGATTCAGGCGTTGTGTTTGACCTACCCAGGGTGCTGAGTCTGCTGTCCTTGGCAGTCATGGCGGCGGACGATCGGTCCTCTTGTTTGTAAACAAATCCTTGGCTGCCTTTGTCCTGAGATCACTCCTGACGACACTAAAAACTACACAGATACATTGTTGTGTGTCACGCTGACAGGGACACCTGTGACTTCAGCGTGACGCCCTTATCACGCATGACCACCACTAGGGGTAGCAGGGACACTTGGCACACTTGGGCACACTAAACATCTTTAACGACGCAACGTCAGGAGAAGGACTGCCACTTTCTCTTTGAGGTCAATGGCGGCAGCAAGTTGACCAGTTTGTTAATTTGTCCTTTCACTGAAATTGTACACCTGGCAGCCAGGGCACGTTGTTTTACCAGACAGTTTTAGGGTATAGGGTTATCCAGGTGGGCACAGCGCGCAACTACATGAGCGTTGCTGGGCAAGAGGTCAGACGATGCGCGCAGGAGCGAGAGAGCGACTGTGCAGAGCGGAGGACTATGTAAGCTGCGACTGCGCCGGCGGTGCTCCGTAAGAGGGATATCACCATCACCCGAGCTGCCTGGCACTCCGCCCCCCCCGCCATCACAACCACCACAGCCCACGCCCATACCTGCACACACAGGTTGTGGCACGCCCACGCCCCACGCCCACACAGCCACACGTCTACCCCGATACTTCCTCGTCTACCTCGACACAATTTGGGCAAATAACTTAAACTATGCACCACCTGACCCATGCTCGGAGAGGACAGGTGGTCTGTCCCAGGAGGTGGCAGAAGTTTTGGTCAAGATGACTAATAATAGCGAGATGTGTTATGGTAAGGCAGCAGAGTGGGAACACGGCCAGTGATCTGTCCTGCCTGGCTGGGGGCGACCATGGGTGTGCCCGGGGGTCCCTCCTTAGTACGCTGTTCTACGGTGCTGATGTCACCACCACCCTGGCTCACACCACCACCACCACCCTGGCTCCCACTACCACCACCACCACCTTCCTGGCTCACACCACCACCAAGGCTTACCCGTATAACTTTCCCCGAGTGGTCCTGGTAATGCTGTAGGTCCGCTTTACACACAGCTGTGAAAACCCTCTTCCCTACACCGCCCATCTACACTCCCAGCGGTGAACCCTCTACCCCACACGTTCCTGGTGGCTAAAACAATATACTTGATGTATTAGATATCCTCTTGATAGATCTATTTTTCAGTATTATGGACTTCCTTTTCAAAAAATATAACAAGTGATATCTTGTGTCTATATCTTTCCTGCCACCTTCTACACTTGTCTTATATCTTCCTTCTTTATTACTTCATCCCATCTGTGAAATTTCCCTATTCCTCTATCCATTCACACATCAAATAACTTGCACGTAAGATTTCTCCCCTTTATAAGCCCTATCATTTTGGACACCTGTGGAAAATAACTCCCCTGCCGTGGCCAAGTATACATTAAGAGGTGAGGCAGTCTTGGCCACAACACCTACACGCTTCTCACTAGCTCACCCATGTGTGTCACACCTGGACCTTTATCCACTTATGTATATTAATGATAAGTAACACACACACACACACACACACACACACACACACACACACACACACACAGGTGAAAACATGTATCTCTCTTACAGTGTTTACACTCGTATGTGTGTGTGTTCACGTGCCAGCACTCCTGCGAACCTGCATTCAAGTCAGACAGAGCATCGTGTGTTGGAGTTTTGTGAGGAAGAAGAAATATGACACTTGTGACCTTTACAATGTCCCTTTTAACTCGTTGATCCATTCCACCCCGGGTAGGACCTCCTCAATGGTCCTCACACGGTGGGGTCGAGTCATCGCTGATAATGTGGCGAAAAGTCACATAGCTAATGTTTTTGATGCACTTATGAGTGAAGTCCCAATATGTGTTGTGTGTGTGTGTGATGTCCTCCCACGGGTGAGCACTCCAGCTGCCAGTATTTAATTTTGTTCATTTGAGACAATTAGTGACGCAACACGTAAATATATCGGACTCGTTTCTAAACATAGAACGCTTGCTGACATTGGGTCTCGTCATCTTTGTTAAGGGGCTCTGATCGCCATATTGTGATCTTACTAAAGAAAATAAACTCAGACCTCTCTTGATACAGATGGACAATCTGTTTTCAAGTCGATCGTTCAATCAGATAACTTGTGTATGTTGAGAAAGTTGTAGTACCAGTTCCCTCTAAAGGGTGTGCGTGTCACTACTTGCATGTACTTAACTGTGTTTATGTGCGTGCTCGTCGTGTGGCTTTGTTTATGTGCACATGATTGCATGATTGTGTGTGTGTGTGTGTGTCTGAGAAATACTCGACACAGGGTTATGGTTGCCCTTCGCAAGGGTATTCTTGTTATCTTTCCCATAAACCTTAAAGCCACAATATACGATGGTGACCACTATTGCGTCAAAGTCGTAAACGTCACCTCCATCAGGGTTGGTGTATTGCCTGGCTCACAGCTGTGTGGCGAGGTTGCCGCGACGTGTTTGGTCTACGGTCATGGTCGCCCACATCCCACCAAAAAACATTCCCGCTGATTGTGCTCGTCTAAGCTAACCATGCTTTCATGACCATCTGTATTTTGTGCATTCTAGCTTAGTTTCTTCAATGAAACACCTAGTTACTGCACACCTAAACCCATATTTACTCTGTTAAACCTGTTAGCTGAAAGGTCTACTCTATTTTTGGAGCCTCTGCACGAAATTGGACTATATGGCGACTGTTTTTGTTCTAGAAATACTATTTACAAAACTATGATTTGAAGAAAAAAAATGTTTGAACCTAGCTTAATTTACAGTATGCGATATCGTTATAAATATTAGGTTTGCTTTTCTTAAAAATATCGTGTAATAATATACACCCTGTACAGAATTAGTACTATCATCAGTGAAACAGGCACTTGTCTCGTCATTTTAAGGCTACTCGCGATTTACATTAGTTATCGTTAAAACATTTTCTGTCAGTTCACGTCCACAGAAAACACCCCCGGGAGGAGCTATTTTCAGCCTCGGCGGTGAAACTCCCAACTTTCGAACGCCTTCATTATACAGTATGCCCGTAGTCATTTGATATTAGTCACTCATAAAAAACCTCGAAGTACAAGAACCTGTACACGTCAGGATATCTATCTTAAGGAGTTGTAAAGAGTTCTTAACATCTTCCACAACACACTGCGCTATTTCCTGGGGATCATTTTGTGCAGTATGATGGTGTGATTTTCCACGATACTGGACTCGATTCAGTAGCTCTAGGGCTCAGCGGGGCAGGGAAGCCGTGAGATACATTACTACACACAGTATTATCGTCAGTGTCTCTTTCCTGTCTTCTGGTTAACCCTGAACTTAGCAACAGTTAGTTACCACGCGCTGTATTACATGAAGCCGCTATAGGCCATACCTAAAAGACCCCTAGACTTCTGACTTCTGATGCTATGATGTAGGCTGTAAACCACCGCTACTTTACGCTGCACTCGTCCCCATGACACATATATATTAATTAATTTCAGAGTAAAACCCGCTTCCCCCCCTGGGAGGTGCTCCACCACACGGCAGTGGGACTCAGCTCACACGCCGGTAAAAACTGTGCTTAACCGTCATCAACAAAGCAAGTGCCATGTTTTACTGGGTTTATTTAGCCTGACATGGCAATCCCACGGTGTTTCCTGAAGACAACAATCGGTTTCTATCTCTACACACGCTGGTTTTCTCTTCCTTATATGTAGGTTAATTGTGTACACTTGTTTTCTACACCGTAATAAATGTTAAACTATTTCTTACTAAATTTCAAAAGGTTTCCCTCAGACAAACCTTAGTCGACGCAGTGTAACCAAACCTAACTTAACTTCACCTAATCTATCTTAACCTAAACTAATCTAACTCCCACCTCCCTTACAGCGTTAAGGTAGGGGGTTCGTAATCATCATGAAATCTGATTTATGTTCCTGCTTTAATATTGAAGGTAAAATTTCCCCCACTGTTTGAAACTAAAATTATCATGGTAGTATTTTGTCCTTCACTAACCAATAACTGAATCACGAATTAATTTTAGTCTCGGGGACGACGGTGGCCGTGTCTTACCGTGTGTGTGTTCCGCTTGATGTTAGACTCTTGGCAGGCGGGATATCTGACCATCTCAGTGCATATGCCCCGTCGTCCTGTCCTACGCCCCAGTGACTGCCATTACTTAGCTCACTGTGCCTCCTGTCAGCTTAACTCTATGTGTATCCCCTCCGATGAGCAAGTTCCCTTTAAAATTTCAAACTTGACCAGAATTATACCTCTTATAACCCCTATAGCGTCCACGTAGCCAAATTTATCCCATCCCAGTGAAGGACAGTTAACCTTGTGCCTCAATTCATCTTAATCACTCCCAGCCTGTCAAATCCCTGTCTAGTCTGTCCAAAAACAACTACTACGACAACTACCCTATTTTTATGCACCGCTGACGCTCGCCCGATTTATAATTATATACGTCTAACTAGATCAGTAAACCCAAAGTAGATGAATTGTGAATGTTAAATAATTATACTTAAATTATACCAAAATAACAACAGAAATATATTCTTCTTGTAGAAAATAATACCATCTACATTAAACTTTTTCTCGATGGAAAAATAATATCGTATATACATAAGTTCATTCGAAGATTCTTTCATCTGAGTCAACATGGCAGTCATACCCTCATAAACACACTCATTCCATTAAATATTATGGACCAATAAGTAGTTATTCGGACCTGTTAATCTAATGATCTCTGGCAAAGTTCACTCAGATGGGTCGATTATTTGTATTGACACTTAAGTAAACCTCTTTGATAAATGAGTGAGCATGGGAGACTACCTGCTGACACCACTTGTATGACCACAACCACAATCACTACCCACAATCACAACCACTACCCACAATCACTCACTATACAAACATCACAACCAGGACCGCACAAGTTCAGAGTCACACACCAACATCACCACACACCACCTGGGCAGTATGCCAATCCTCCAAGGTCAAGCAAGATGAGAGATTGTGTAGGCCATGACTGTGGTGGTGGGTGTGGGAGGTAAGCTGGGTGTGGGTGATGGTGGTGTGTGGGTGATGGTGGTGTGTGGGTGGTAAGGTGGGCGTGGGTGTGATGGTGGTGTAGGGATCTGAAGGGGGTCTGGATGGTGGTAAGAGGTGTGGGTTATCAGAGTAGTGTTAGATGATGGGTAGGTGGTGAAGATGCTGGTGTAAATATAGCTGGTGAAAAAGGGTAAGTGAGATGACGCGTGTTTGGTGAGAGTGGTGATGGGTGCTTGGATAACAGGGAGCATAGGGGTGGGCGGGTGATAACATGTAGGTATTCAAGAATAGAACGGTGTTTATCTTGGCTACATCTGCCACAACTATATGAATCTATGCCACTTACCGCGCCATATCTCGGATAAATCCAACGCAATTTAGTAAAACAACAGAAATTTATATTGTAGGAAAATATTGCAGCGCAAGGGAAAAACAGGGCACTGGAAATCCAACATTGGGGGCCCCTGGTGATTATGAAAGAGGGTGAAGAGTACCGCAGCCTCCCAAGGGAGACGGTGAAAGAGGGCAGCTCCCCCTGAGCGATCCCATCTCTACAACGACTACGGCACTGGCTTAGTGTGGGAGAGAGGCGCCGTGGTGTAGGGTCACCTGGTCAAGTAGAGTACTTGGCGCCGCATCTTGAACACTGATACTATGACCTCAGTAACCTCACATCTGCACAAAATGACTAGTTATGTTTCGTTAAAGAAATACCAGTTTTATCTGAGGAATGATGTAGGCAAAATACAAGACTTACAAGTTAGTTTCCTTCAGAAAACATTTTATTTTACTTTAAAACTGTATTATTTATGGAAGTACAAATAATATTCCTGCCTGGGAAAATTATCCATTATATACTATTAGTTTAAAAGCAAAGTTTTAAGTTAAATGAATTTTACAGCGCAGATGTTCATATACTGTATCATATGAGGGTTAACTCCCCTCCTATATATATATATATATATATATATATATATATATATATATATATATATATATATATATATATATATATATATATATATATATATATATATATGCAACTTGTTATTTGAATACGAGTTGGCATAAATATCCTTCATATTGTATATTTTGCACTATAAAGAAATTCATTTTCGTCTTAATTATTTGACGACTCTTACAATGTTGGTGGTGAATATACGTGAACGTGTTCATATATCTTATATATTTATAGTGGAAATCCAGTAGTGTCACGTGTGTTGTGCAGAATCTAATTTGTCAGGACTTTTTGTAGTACACGGTGTGTGCAGCTAACGATAATTTATATGTGAAAATATCACCTAATTTAATCTTGCCTTCTAAGTAGCTTATTTATACAGTAGTTCTAGGACCAGGCACTGTGCATAAGTGTGTCACAAAGAGAACCAAAAACTATACAAGTGATGTTCTCTACATTACTTCAGTAAGAGGCCCAATTATTTCACTATTGGTAGTCCTCTCTGGCCCACTGTAGGTAGCCTGCATGGTCGTCATCCCTGTTCTGGGAATGTGCCAATGAGTCGAGCCTCAGAGCTCTTGAGGATGCTTACAAGTTTTCCTTGTCTAGATACGTAGCTCCTAATACCAGGTCCAGTGTTACTTAGGTCACTGATTGAGATACTGATAAGTACCATACAGATTTTGGGCGGGATTTTCTAACTTGTTTAAACTGCGATAACGTCATTATTTTCTGTTCTAGGCTAAAGTAGGTTCCGATGCCCGCGACTGATCACCGACGTGTATTCTTATGTCATTCTGTTATTTGTTACGTCTGGTGTATTATAGTTACGGCGGATCACTTACATGTCTCCAGATGATTGTCTCAGATCTGACCAGAAAATGGCTGAATCGTGCGTATCAAATTGAGATTCGAAAATGAACGTTTAATTCAATGAACCAAAAGGATTATGGTAAATTTGGCAGAGTTCTGAATGACCTGTTTATTCCACATGGAGACAACAATACTGTAATTTACTCCGAAATGAGGAGAAATTATACAAATTATTATATAAACAAATGTATCCGTCTTTAAGTTATAAAACACTATCGCGGGAATATATTGAACTACGCTTATTTAAATGGCTTGATAGAACCTCGACAACAACATTCCCATCACTCCTGTCCCACACAGGCAAGGTCGAGCTCCCAACCTACGCACTTGTGAAAGATTATGTAATGTCATTAAATATGTATACACCCTATAAGGTTACCATCCGAGGTGCCTTTAGTTATCACATTCGTATCCAGATTATTTTTTGCCTGTGCTTACCCAAGCACCCAGGATAGGACGAAGTCAACAAGCAGGTTCTGGAATATGGGGCTCAACAGGAACTTGCCAACAAGGTAAGAACGTTTGTTATATATCTGGAAAAAAAACACACAAATAAACATGGAAATTAACCAGAAAATTTCATGTTTGTGTTGCAGTGAATACAAAATCGCTCAGCATATGATCTAAGCGAAGAGCCCTTTAAAACACAGCACTGTACTTCACCGACAGTGTTAGAATAATAGCATAGGACTTGTAGGCTTGCAACGTGTGTACAACCACGTCAACTGCTCTGGGTCTTGTCTGCTGGCTATGGTGTGGCCAACCTTTCCTTTTTTGCTCCATAATACATAAGGGTGCTGCTGGTTCTAGGAACAGAGTTAGCGATCATTTTACGGTGGTGTTCACTCTCGGGGAGCTGCCTCAGGGCACATCTTCCCTGGGGCGTCGGTTGCAGGATAATTGCTACGCTGGTGTCGGGTTATATTTATGAGGATATGGTTGAGGCGGTGAACGTCTCTACTGGTAGTGTAGAGATTCCCTGGTTCTCACGACTATGGTTGACGAGGAGCCCCTCCTTCACACAATATTTTAATTAATCGTAAAAGTAATTTTTGGCAATGCTGTATTTGGGATTTAAATAACTAGAAAATGTAGTGGTTGTTAAAGAACCATCTCTGCTAGTGACGGATTAGGTACATTTGTATCAAACGTTACAGCTTTAACCCCTTCACTACTGGACGCCACTTAATATTTTATTTGGTTAATGCCAGACTAGTTTATTCAGCAGAGAAACACACCCTTTGTATGATGCATCACATGTTAAATAGGATCATATATGAGCATCATGCCGAGGATAAAGGTTTATGAAATACAACGATAAAGGCCAAAATGTACTTACCCAGACGCTGGTCCCACTCCGTCTCGCGGAAGGGACTTTCCTGTAGTCGCTGTGACATTGTTGGTTCTTGATAAAGATAGCGCAGATCACCAGGTTTTAAACTTCACTCAGATGATTTACTTCAGCCAAACCGTTTCTCACTACTTTAATCTTTTAACAAAGTTTTCAGCCCTTAAGGATACGGCTGCCGAGCAGCGGCGGCCGCCTCACCACATGTTGATTCCCTCGTATCTCTGTGTCAAGAGAAAACACTCAGTTAATAATCTGCACAACAATGCGTATACACGTTCGTTGTTCCGTGACACTGTATATCCTAGTTGCGGGTGCGCGCAGTGTGTGTGTGTGCGTGTGTGACGCAAGACACTACTGAGTGGCAGGAGGGCTGAGCGTGGCGGGCAGGAGTGGAGGCAGCGTATGTGCTGCGGGTGGACTCAGCCACTCACTGCTTCACTACCCGCACTCCCTCCCGCACCGCCGTGCCCACACACGCAGGATACAACAGTTTTAATAGTGATGTCAGTTCACAGAAAAACATTAACAATCGAGTATCAGAGAAAGAGTACTGCATTGAGAAATAAAAAAGAATTGGCAGTTGTTTCCCAACTTATGGTCAGACTGCAGTGTTACAGTGCAATTTACTACTGTATTCGTAAATATTTTGGCAAAAAAGATTGAGGCAGGGATTGGTCAGCTGTATAATTAGGACCAGTCCCAGGCTGGCATGTAAAGACACTGACGTACTCTGAACCACAGTAGCCAGAACCTCGCTCTTGAAATGTGTTTCATTTAAAGAAAAATGAGCTCACTCACCTTTAACTCTTTCACGTACACAACATAACATGACAAATGAATGAGAAAATATTTAACAAAAAGAGTTCCTGAGCAATGAACACGCGCATCACCAGAAGTTAACACAGTACTGTACAGTTTAACTCTCGGTGAGTTCTATTTGTTTCTTGTGAACGTTGCATCATTGTTAGTATAGTACTGTATTACTCTAGGTCATACATATCTTTCTACAAGTTTCTACGTCACTGCCACTAATACCTGCTACTTAAGATTGTGCATTATTGTTAATAAAAACAACGATTTAAAGAGTAAACGCTGCGTTATTTCAGGTAATACTGAGAGAAGATTAAAGTCCGAGACATAGCAGATATTGTCTGGCATTTAACACAAGGCGTAAGCACCGCCAGACAACAGACACACCGTATCTGCCACTTTAACAGATGTCATTCATTGGTCGGTACAAGAAGGTGTTCAAACTATAAGTTGATTATCGTCAGGTATGTGAGTTAAGATTGCATAATGGCTCCATTTATCTGCCTCATTAACAAAAACATAAGACACGGTACTACTACTTGATGTATACTGTATATGATCGAAACACCCGAAGATTTAGTACATATTACTGTCAGAATATGCAAATGTATTATTATTATTTGTTCCGTCAGTAATCAGGTAACTCAATTAAATGTAGATAAATTGATCAGTATAAGATTTTTCCACATACAGTATAGTATATTTTGTCTTTAAATCTGTCCTAAACCAAACTCACGGCAACTCTCATTTCCTTGATCCAACTTTATAATTAATTCACTGTTAAAAATAAGTACTACATGAAAATATAAGAAACACTGGCGCCGTCGGGTCTATGCTAGTGCAATTGTCCTAAACACGGAGCGTCACGACTTGTATGTAGCGTCTCTTAAAACACAGAAGATGTAATGAATAAATATTGCAGAAAGACGATGCAACACGCCACATGCCAGATTAATATGTTTTTTTTATATTATTCCTGCAGGATGCACGTCTGTCTAACATACTCGATGCAATGTGCTATATGGGATGTGCAAGGTATCGTGGGTCTCGTGCCTGTGACAGTCGAGGGTGAAGGGAGGAGGAGGTGGTGGTAACAAGGTAGTATGTGAGGCAGGGGGAGTGCTTGGATGGTGGTGGTGGTGGTGGAAGGCGACCTTGAACACTGCCACCTCCACCAAGCCTCTCTGTATAAACCCCCACCTTCACCGTATGATCACCATCACCAACCCCACCACCGCTACCACCGCTAACAAATTCATCTCCATCACCACTACTACCACCACCCCAACAACAGTATCACGAGTACAACGAAATCACCACTAAACAACAGTCACCAGCAGCTTGCATTTGGAGTGCGATTTATGACGTACCTTAAAGCCGTCAAAATAAACACATCTGCTAGCACCCCACCTTACCCCCATGATACTGAACAGCGTCACAATACAGTACAGTACATGGAAATATAGATTATTGTCTTCCGTAATAATGCACCGTGTTTGAAGTTCAGTTTAAAATGTACAAAATACAATTACTGTCCGTTGTTACTATACGTGTCTTCCCTCAGGGACGCCAGAACAGAAATCGGTGAAGCGGGCTACTCCAAATTCTCGAGGAGTGTCTAAGGGGACGCTGCAGAATATTTCCTCTAGTTTGGGAAGCAGCTTAGCACACTTGGGACCGTTATTTAAGCAAAACTGTTTCAGCAACTATCCTCCTTGTACATATACAGACTTGTTTTGCTATTTCATGCATATAGAATACAATATTGGATATAATTTTGATAACGGAGAAGTATAGGTGAGCAAACAACGATACTATTAGGTACAGTACATTAGAGTATTGAAGGTCTAGGTAAACACCAGCACGGCGAGAGACCAGTACCTAGGCTAGACTGCAGTATCTAGAATTATGACTTCGGCAGCACTCTAGAACATGACTTCAGTATTTAGGTCTTTACTTTATATCTGGGACTCCACACGAGCGTCACAACAGACAACAACAGCAGCTTTTAGAGCAAGGTTAAAATCTTTAGGGCTAACCAAGTACAGTCTTGTTGTATCTCTTTAGTAAGCAGGAAAGGCAGTTGATTCAACACGATGAAAGTTATTAATGAAGAGGTCAGGGACCCTGGAAGTTGAGAGGTGTTCCCAGAGATGAAATTATGCGAGGGCAAAAACTGGACCCTCGCACCTAAGCATCACTAGCACGCTCACGCCAAACCCGCATGTAGAGCAGTATAGGCGTCTACATTATTAAGCTCACAGTTCATGCGTACACGCCACACGTTCACGTCAAGGACATTGATCACAAACATATTCGTAACAACGTATATAATTTAAGATTTCAGATTCGCCCTGCGAGGGGGCTAGTTTATTGGGCACCCCATTGCATCGTGTGCAAGGCGAAGCACAAAAGCGTTTACCGCTCCCAACAGGGAAGCAAGCGGAGTTCATGCTTGTCTTCTCGAATCATGCATTTAAGGGCGTAAGTGCCTGAAAGACCATGGATTTTATCAGCAAGTTACAGTCATATAGTGACAGGATGAGTGTGTGGAGGAGAATTCCCGATACAACACTTGTTTAGTTTATGGCAAGGCGTGTATATAATGGAAGTGTGTGTGTGTGTGTGTGTGTGTGAAATTAAACGCACAAGAACACTACGTTCGTACATCACAAGTACGAAACTCACCGAATTACAAACATATCCATAAATAAGTTTGGTGCAGATACATTTTACAGTTATACAGCATAATATAAACAAAGAAACATATAATGCATACACCACAGGGAAATAAACACAAACGCGGACAAAACAAATTATCTACATTTCAAGATTAAAGAAAGAAAGTGTACACTATAATGCATGACCTATATAACTGTCGAGTAGCAAGTTTATCTCTCTCTCTCTCTCTCTCTAACGAGGCTACTGGTGCCGTCACGATAACTCCACCATCTTGACCTTGATCCTGACTTCCTGCTGTCTAGTTCAACCATGACCTTTTTTCTACCACCTGTAGGGGTCACGGTTATTATTGGCACTACGTCGTGTATCATTCTATGAGAGCCATGGTTGTGCCCCCTTTAGTAGCCAAAGATGACATTCATATTAACTTGCATGGTGACAAGCCGTAGTGCACCCCTCTTGTGGCAGTGTTGACGAATCATGATCCACTTGCAGTAATCGACCTACCACTCCGTTATATACCCCTTCAAGACTTGAATTACCAGGCATTCTAACTCAGAGTAACTTGATATTAAGATGTTAATAACTGGGAGGTAGCGGGAGGGTGAGGGCACACAGGGCGGGACTGTACCCATCCTGGCCGCCTTCCCACAGCTCCCGCCAGTTGCGCCCGGGGCCTCTCGTCACCACTACCTGTGTTGTTGTATTGCTTTCCTTCCCAATTTATGTGGCATTAAATATATAGACACGTGTGTAATCCAATACGATATATTTATAATATGACAAAAATGTATTCTTTCAAATTTTAATACATATATAATTATTATTGAAATTACAGCTTTTGTGACACCACCTTTTAAATCTCCCTTTAAACTGACACACTTTTCAGCCTTGGTTAACCAGATCTCGGACAGCGTCCACTCTGAGAAACTGTTGACCGAATATAAACCAGAGCAACACCTTGCTGAATACATTGACTTCTCTGTCGAGGTTAATTGCGTGGAATTAGGGCAGGAAATACGTCATTAAACATCTTGCAATGATGCATTGACATTTCTACGAAGTCATAGGTTCACATTCAAATACTGTACCTCGATAATGTAAGATAGGACGGGCAACGAAATGTCAGTAACTGACAAGTACACCTTTAAGAAACTCCCGATCTTTAAAACGATTGATAACTTTTTTTAGTGTAAAGATTACGGTGACTCAAAATATTCAGCTAGTATGTGTTTACTGTTATGTCGGGTTTATATATTGTTAAGTCCATGTTCACACTGAGGAAGCACGCCAGGTACTTTTGATCTTTATTTTACACTTGCCTCCCGTTTGAGAAGTTTTTAAGTTTTGAAAATTATACATGAATGTGATATGATCAAAATACTAATGCAAGACATCAATGGTTCTTTATGTTTGAAAAATCTGTCAGTTACTATTTACACATTTAAAAACGGATATATTATTCTCATTACTAAATGCTGTACATAAAAAAAGACGAAATTTACAGGTATACGGCAGAAACGTGTTGGCTCGGTTTCAAAACAATATATTAAGAAGTGTTGACAGGTGCTAATCTTACGTAAAGGAAACCCCGTGCCTCCCTTCACCACCATCACCCGGCACAGAATGTTTGTCAGCAGTAAAGAATAGCCTAGACCCTCGGCGACTGTACAACCATAAACAACTACAATAAGAGAAAGTTTATATTCAACAAAAGGCGGAAATATAAGGTTTTGTATATTTACCTTTGGCCATTACCTGAGGGTTTTAATGGCAGGTAAATTTGGGATCAGTAAACAGTTTGGTTGTTGGCCGTAGGCGGGAGCTGCAGGGTGACAGATGACCACACCACAACAAACACCTGTTTTTGTTCAGACGCGCCAAGAAAGGCTTTAAACTCCCCTCGCTCTAGTTTCTATCATTCTCACATTACAGATTTCTTCCATACACCGTTTAAAAATCTAAGTGTGACTTTTTTTCCTTTTTGTTTACAAGCCGGATTGGAATGACGTGTTTACCTTCATATCCATGTCAGTTTACGCCAGCAAATCTTTTCACATTTGTCGGCAAGGAAATGTTTTTCAACAAATGTGCCGCAGGAAAAGATGGTTTTGTTTTGAAAAACATGAAGCTCTATCCTTTTTCGGATGCCTATATCTGCTTTCAGTTTAATTCGAAATTCTGAATTAAAAGTTTTTCACCTATAGAATTACGTGAAGATAAATTTGTCACAAGTGTAGCAAGTTATTTTCAGGAATAACGATTCTAATTTCGTTATGTTTAACACTAAATAAACACTTAATGTAAGTTGTCTCTTTAAAGAGAAGTATACATGGCTTTTAAGAATCTCACAATGGCAGCAAAAATATCGGAGAATGATGCGTTTGCTGGGTTTATGTGGCTGGAACTATACTGTGCTGACTGGAAGTGCTGG